CTTGGGATCCCCAACGTACGATGTGCCCTGTCTGTGAAGCTGTTGAGCTGGAGCGCTTTTGAGGCTGCTGAGATCGGAGAAGGCTTGCAGGCTTGGTCGTCTCCGCCCTTTTGGCAACATATTGATCTTTTCATTCAACAAACTCAGATAAAGAGGAAGGACCAGGCTGACGCGGCCTAGTCTCATCGTATACCTATCCCCTGTAACTCCAGTATCCCCTTCCACTTGCAAAAATCTGTAAAAAGGAAATGACTTGACTTCGTGGCGCCGCCATCGCCCCTCAACTGCTGTAGCGGCCGTTGTATCGCTAGTTTGCATTTTGCGTCGAATTTTACTGGTTACTTTCCGTTTAAGCTTAAGCGGCGTTGATAGTTCTGATTTCAGACTTACTCGCCGTTTTGAAGGACATCGCGATGGCGTTTGGCACGTAACGGCTGACGCCACACGCAGTATTTGTGCCAGTGCGAGCGCTGGTAAGGTATTATATGAAGTTCTGTTCGGTAACTGTCAATTACTCGTTTTGTTCGGTGATATAACTAGTCCCTTATACCCCGATCCTACGAATTTACCAATGTAGCCCTCCTTACCCTACCTTAGCCACTTTCTTAACAACTCAGAAATGAGTCATTCTGGGTTTCGTTGACGTGATTCCTTCTGGGAACTGATTAACGGACGTTAACGTTCAACGTTTCCAGATCAAACGGCTCGAATATGGTCACTCAACTCTGGTGCCTGCTTGTATGCCTACACGGGTCATTCTGGCTCCGTGAACTGCGTAGCATTCGCTCCTTTGCCGGAGTCGCAGTCAGGTGGCGAACTAACCATAGCGACAGCAAGTGGAGACGAGTCAGCGCACATTTGGAAGGTGACCATTGGACAGCACGCAGTGTTGAGTTCCGATGACGATGAAGACGAGAAGGCACCCGTCGATAGTGCAGGAGGTGAAGGTGATACCGCGCCTCCATCAAGCACCGAAGGAGCACGGGTAAAGAACGCACTGATGCGGCTTACAGGCCACACCGGCGTGGTGATTGGTTGCGATTGGCTAGAAGGTAAGCGTGCCTAAGCGTGCCTTATACATACTCATTGGGCGAAGTTCGGCTTGGGGAGGCATTTGCACTTTCACGTACTTCCCCGCGTGTTCCAGTGTTACAAGAGTTGGCTGGTAAGGTATATCACAATACTTCACAATGTTTCAACAGATAGCTTGTCATGACGAGGAACTGAAAAGCAATCTCCTTCTCCTCCACCCTCCAAGGTACTTTTCTCTTTAGGTGGAAGTCAGCTGATCACAGCGAGTTGGGATCGTACAGCGAACATATACGATGTGGAACGAGGCGAGGTACTGAACATATTGAGCGGGCATGAGATGGAACTCAATCATTGCTCAGCACATCCGAATCAGAAGCTTGTGGTCACATCGTCGAAAGATTCCACGTTCCGGCTTTGGGACTTCCGCGAGACTATACAGTCTGTAGCCGTGTTTCAGGGACATCAGGAGTAAGTAACTTAAGGACGGTGAAAACTTTGGTTAGGAGGCGGCATATCAGTTCAGGCGTCATTGATGGGAGGTGTTGAGCCAGTCACACCGCCTGGAACACTGAAAAGTGTGGCCAATGCTCTATCACCAATTACGCTTGAAGTGAGGCTTGTTCGCTGCGGGTTTAGTTTTCGCTTCCAGGTTTGGTCGCTTACAGAAAGAAAAAGAACGAAAAAAATGGGCTGACGCCACGCCAAGCATATCCCTCTTGACGCGTCCCATCATCGGCAGCTTAAAAAACTGTAGTGCCCCGCCTTTTAGCCCACTTATTTTGGAATAATTGTTTTATTTTCATCAATTATGAGCCTGTACTTTCAGCTCCGTGAGCTCTGTAGCGTTTTCAAGCGGCGATCGAATTGTGTCGGGCAGTGATGATCGAACTGTAAAGGTTTGTTAGTGCTTCCCCATTTTGAAAACCTGAAGGAAAGTCTTGAGCTAACAGTATTTAAACCTAATGGCACGCCTTTTTCACGTTCTACTTGCTTCTTAAGTCACGAATACGTTTGCAGGTTTGGGATTTACGTAACATGCGCAGCGCAATATCAACGATTCGCCTATCATCAGCCGCCAATCGGTTATCGGTTAGTGGGCAGAGCCTTTTTTATCTCTGTAACTTTACGGCTATTCAAACGAATTGGAATTCAGGTGAGTCGAACTCACGGTGCAATCGCCATTCCTCTTGACAATCGCCATGTACGGATCTATGATCTGGCCGGGAATAGGCTACCTCGAGTACCAAACAGAAGAGTGAGTATTTTATAGCTTTCAGTTATGAGCGATTATTAAATGTAACAAGAATGCAAAGCTATGGGGAAAGGTAAACCCCGAGCGGAGCTCAGTACACCTAAGCGTAGGCTCGAACCTGCTTGTCCCTCGGCCCTGACTGGGCAATGTGCGGTCCATCAGCAGACAGCATGACTTGTGGTACACGTGTCTCATGTTAAATCTGTGGATTGGGGCGGATCCGCGAAACGCCGCTTAGGAGGCTAAATTGCGCGTAGATTACGTGTGTGCATAGGCACCTTCGCCAATTCTACTGGCAATGCTTATTTACGGCAAAGCTTTGTCCGCATTGACGGCATCGCAACGAATTGAACAGTGACAGCCCGAGGGTGGGGCACCAAATCCTGGTTACGAGCCTCGTGTGTAAGCTGCAACTTTTCCACTGGGCAACAAATCCTGTTGACGAGCCTTGTGTGTAAGCTGCAACTTCCCACTTGCGACTAGAGTGGCGACAAAGGCGTTAAGCGGCGTCATGCGCGCGGCATATGCAGCAGGACCTAAGTCTTTCAAGTTGAGTGACTTAAATTTCTCGTGTCAACTAACTGGAGTTAATCTCTGGGCTGCTTTCTGCAGCGTCGCTGCCCGCTTAACTCACAGCTATGTCGAAAACCAACTGAAATGCTAAGAGAGTTGGGAAAGTGCATTGGGCAAGGGCACGATGAGGCTGCAGGCCCCATCCTGATCGTCTGCGCTCTTTAAGGCTAGAAGGGAATGGTTTGAACTTCCCATGGAACTTTGAATGGAGACCTAGGTACATCGATAGAGCCTCGAATGCTGATTACGAATATGCAGATTAAAAGTGCTACGGGGACCTCCCAGACGAGATCTGGGTGGTCAAAGTTTGAGTTCTGGCTCGTAAGCGCTGCTGATCGATGCCTCGGCAGTGCCACCGTGGCCTCGTGGTAGTGGTCTCGCTTTCAAGTCAAACGCATGCGGGTTTGCATCCGGTTGGCGCGAAAATTTTTGCTTCGCTCCGTATAAGAGCTTCAACTCTAATTCTTCCGAGTTTACGGCCCAGCAGGGCAAGTAGATCAAGTACATCAAATAAAAAAAAATAAAATAAAATATAAAATAAAAATAAAATAAAATTGCCCAGAATCGCAATTTGGCCAGACGAGCGTTTTTTCGTCGAAGGATGTGATATTCGTGTTCAGGGGGTCGAAATCTCCCATGAACGAATTTCTCGCTAAAACTTTGAATTGTCGGATGGGTAATATGTTCAGAGAGGGCAGATATGACCAAATCCATACTAGATCGAGTACGTCGTATACTTGATCTACTTGCCCTGCTGGGCCGTAAATTCGGAAGAATTTCGAAAATTAGAGTTGAAGCTCTTATACGGAGCGAAGCAAAAATTTTCGCGCCAACCGGATGCAAACCCGCATGCGTTTGACTTGAAAGCGAGACCATTACCAGGAGGCCACGTTGGCACTGCCGAGGCTTCGACCAGCAGCGCTTACGAGCCAGAACTCACTTTGATCACCCAGATCTCGTCTGGGAGGTCCCCGTAGCACTTTTAATCTGCATATTCGTAATCAGCATTCGAGGCTCTATCGATGTACCTAGGTCTCCATTCAAAGTTCCATGGGAAGTTCAAACCATTCCCTTGTAAGGTGGGAAGAGGGAGCGATGACGATCTAGATGAGAAGGATCTTACCCCCAACTGCGGTAGCGCCGGAAGCTGTTCGTTTTTGTAACAATGCATGACCAGAGCGGGCATTTTTGTGCCCTGCGCTACACGAGTTAATGAGCGAATGTCCTACTGTACGTCCTTAACAGATGGTGAATCATAGCTTTGCAGTGTCATTCACGGATGGTTTCCTGTGCAGCTTGGGCCGACGATCATCCCCATTGCAACCTTCTCACGTGTGGATTCGATCGAGGTGTTGCAGGGTGGAAAGTCATGTTAGCAAAAGACTAGTACTTCAAGGAGATTCTAACGTCTAAAAACAGGAGAATCGTGAAGTAGGTAGTAATATTTATTTTAAATTGAAGGTGCTTTCACATTCGCATAATGAATGGATATATCGCATAGGTCTTATCCCTAAGGGCACATTTTGCGATACCGGTGGGCGGTGACTCACAACTTCCTCATTGGTGCGCTCCTCCCCTCCACCATACTAGAAGGAGGGATCCATTAGTGAGAAAGGCGCAGTGGATGTGAGTCTCCGCCCGTCGGTATCGTAGGGTGTCTTCGAAGAGGTTTTGGAATAGCATTCTCGTACCCGATAGCGCGTTCATTTCACAATCCGATCGCGCTTATCAAGAAATCGAACTCGCGAACTAATGTATCTAGTCTGTGCCATTGTAGCTGAGCTTGTATTGCATTGGGCGTCGCCAGTGTGAGTTTTGTGATCTTATAAGGCAACTAATTTGTTTCACTGTGTGTCTGTTTAATTGAGGATATTTCCTACACTGTTATCGTGTAGAAATGAGTATTGTGTGCATTACTTAGTGAATGAGCGTGCGGTCGCGTTGCGACTGGTTCTGTGCAATTCATAAGTTAACCGCTTTGGGCTCGATCAACTGCCATGTATTCCAAAGACGTCTCGATTTGTGATAATAGCAACATTTCCGGGGCTTTTTTTTGTATAGGTGCCTGGGTAGTATGTTTGAGAAGAACCCAGGTGTAGGAATTTTTGTGCTGTGTAATTGTACATTTACAATATGCTTATAGACGATGTACAAAAGTGATGAGATGTGCACAGCTCATAGCGGAGGGCAAAAAAGGGCGGAGCACCGTATTCCGACGCTCCTGTAATACGTAGATCTCCGCCTCCTTTCCATCTGGACCCTTGCACCCCTTGCCACGCTCACGTCGACGTACTTGGAAACGCTCGTTTTTTTACCCTCAGATATGGACTGTGAGCCACACTTCGAAAGCATGGGCCATTTAGCGGCGCTCTTCAGCTGTGAGGTCAAGTCGTCGCTCTTTTGGACTTGACCATCCTGGAATAGAATCCTAGACGTATTGATTACGCCCCTCCCTGTACCCACAAGGCTTTATCATTGTTTGTGAAACGCTGTATTAAGTTGCCATATGTTCGCTCCTCTGTGCATGTGTTCTCGAAATGTGATAGTTGTTACGTTTTGCCAATACTAATAAAATGTTTCTCGTAATGTCTTTTTAGCATTCCAAAACTGCATAAAATGGAGACTTTTGCTCAGTAGGTGAAGAGAAGTACCTGCCACTGTAATGCGGAAGACGGCCAAGACTCGTAACTTGCCGCTCCCGTGCGGCAGCGCAAATGGTTTGCGGCGTTCGCTCAGATTTGCTTAGGCCTGTCCGAATGGAGCACATTTGATTCCACGGAAGGAAACAGTATCGAGGCAATTCATTCTTAGAGCCTTCTCCGTAATGCTACATTTTAGGCGCGCTTACCTCTTAAGCCTCTGAGATCACGATGTCAATTCCATGAGACCATGTTCGATACATCATCTTCTACGAGTGGCGCCGCGGGACCGGAGCAACAGCAACCGTTCGCACATCAACAGCGTATGGGGGGGGGGGGGAGAGGGGGGAAGAGGACACACTCAAATATCGCCAGGTACATCGCTGGTTCTCACCGCCTTTTAAGGAGAGGAGACATGGACTTCGAAGACAAAGCCTCGATTGGGACCCTACTTCGCCGTCGACGACTCCGTCATTCTCGACGCCGTCAAAGAGGATCCGGAAGTTAACACCTACAGTCTTGCGACGAGGTCTTGGCTGTGCCTCATCTCAAACAGCTCGGTCATTCGCCTTCAGGCCCTCGTTACAAAAATGCTCACCTCGATGGATACCTCAATGTTTTCACCGCATAACATGCGGCCACACACAGAGATAAATACTTATATATAATATACATAAATCTCCGCCCTTCTCCGCCAAGGAGTTTCTGGAAGACCTAGTTACTGGAGATGAAAGCTGGATCCTTTACGACGCTAACAAGCACCGCGCCGGATGCATTAGATATACCGCGAGAGAACAGCCCGCCGACGCAGGCCCAAATCCGACCTCCACCCCAAGGAAGCTTCTTCCCCGATTATCGATCGCTTATGGGATTCAAGGAAATGCGGTCGGGGCGGGGGGGGGGGGAGGGGGGGGAGGGGGGACGGACGGACGGACGGGCGGAACAGGAGGGCAGAGAAGAAGGGGACAGGGAGGGGGTCTTAGGTACAGCTCGCTCTATTCAAGTGAGCCCCACTATTATGCGGAGACGAATTATAAGTTCATCGATCACCGCAACACCGCTCATCTTCTACGCTGGTCACGGTGCAGAAAAATCCTTACAGGAAGCCAGTTCCCTGAGAAAACGGTAGACGACACCATTTGTGGCCAGCTAGCTCCATAAGAATACAAGATAAGACACCACATAGATAAAGAGACCGTGCAATAATTGGAGTAGCTAGGCTGAACACGAAACACGTCTATCTATCCACGCAAATAATAATTGCACGCAATAAGATTGACATGCTCGGCTTCCCAAGGCCTTCCTAGCAAAAAAAAAAACATCCGTCAAACTGTGACCACCTTGAACAAATGGTCGCTGTATTGCCTGAGTTGCAAAAATAAAAACAGAAAAAAATCTCACCCTATCAAAACTGTTTGATCAACGCTACTCGACTCGTCGACTGATGGGTGACGATGACTTGTTTTCAACCCTATAGTGATGTTTCGCTCCGCGCTTGTTTATGTTACTCTGAAGATCCCTATCACTTACTAGCTAATTACTGGTGTAACTTGGGTGTCTTTCAAGTAGAAAAAAAACAGCAATGGGTGGTCCCTTTTGATACTTACTCCCGGAAACGCCTCAGGGGCTGAAATAACGTTCGATAGTCTTCAGGGAAATGTCGTCGACGGCCTAGATTGGGGCACACCCAGTCTTACCTATTTCCTCCGCAATACAGCACTTCTCACCAAAGCCGTTGGTAACGACCATAGACTTTCCCGTTTCACTTCTATTGATGAGGCCCGCGAAAGTCACGAAAGTTCATTAAACTAAACGTGTGCTGAGTGGCAGTGCTAGCACCTTCCTACCATACCCGGGACAAAAAAATTGTACGATGCAAAAAATTCATGTGTAGCTCCGAGGCGCCGGGGACAGGAGACACCTGAGAGAGCAGCAAATTCGCCTTTTACGAACAAATACTATTTATATTCCAAGAAAACTGTGAATATCACATATCAGTGCTATCAAATTATGCATCAAAACAACCTGACAAAACGTCATTTAGGAATGGAAAGGCACATCTCACACTACAGACAGGTTATAGACCATGAAAAGCAGCTGGCTAGTAATACAAAGTACATACAATTTAATCTACCGTAATGTGTTTCTGTGTAGTTCAACAGAATACGATTTGAAGACAGTCAAGTGATATTCGTACAGTTCTTCCCAACCGCCCCAAGCAAATCAGCCTTGAAAGACCAGTAAGTGCAGGATCAAGGTACATCGAGAAATTCTTTGTTCTGTACCCCCCCCCCGCCTGAATATTTCTCATTTGTTCGACTTTTCTCCATAGTCAACGATTTTTCCCTATAAGCGATGGCAGCGATTTCAAGCGTAGATAAATCTTAACTAGCGCGTCGATAGTTTTTAGCTCTGCTGAGGCAGTTCATTGAGAGAATCCAGTCAGTCTTTTGACTTTTTTACGCCTCTTCCGCTTTACGGATGTCGGGTCGTATCGACAAGAAGGCGGCGTTGGAGGGGGGAGGGAGGGGGGTGGGGTGATCGCATCGAGAAAATATGGTATGGAAGCTTGTCCCTGCTGTTGCAGTTTCTACGAGCATGAACGAAAGTATCTGCCCCTTTAAGGCTTCTGCTGCCGTTAGGGAAAACTATGGATAATGCGATCCTCCTCTCTCCAAACGATGAGTAAATCGTCCCCTAGCTTCATTTTAATTTCCCCTAGGTTGATAGCGCGCATGAAACAGGGAAAACAAACTATCAAAAAAAGTTTCTCAAGCCAAATACGACCTCCCTCGCTCAACCGACGGAACAGGACCCCCGCTGAAGATTTACAACGTACGACGTGCCCTGTTCTGCTTACTCATCAACAAAGTATGAAGAGAACATCGGGGTGAAGAGCTGAACTGTACGAAAACCCTAAATCTGCATCCAAACAAACAACGGTTAGTAGAAGTGTTAATAATAAATGCAAAACGAATTTAAGTAAATTTCAAGCAAACTCGTGTTTTATCAAAGGCTGTTTCAAATATCACAATCAAAATAGCAAATGCGTAAGTATTGCCAAAGTCTTGGCCCCGTGGTATGATTACAAAGGAGGGCGCAACTCAGCGACGAGAGGGGCGGGACCTTTTACACTTTCCGCTGCCTCCCATTGTCGTGTTCATTGCTTTACAAGAACTGACAGGTATTCTTCACAAGAGCTGACAAGTAGTCTCTATGAAGTTCAACTGGTATCGCATGGGTTCACAAAATTTCACAAATCTCTACTTGTTGACTCGACACAACAACGAAAGCGGCAAAAATTCAAAATTATCTCCCTCCGTCGCCGAACTGCG